TCATTGGTACTTGGTGATGCTTATCAGATCGAAGGGATTGACATCCAAGGGCAACAGATATTAGAATCTGATTCAATCAACCAAGTAAAATTAGGCTTTTATTTTGTTGTTGTTGTTGTTGTTAATGCTCACGCCAAATTCAAACCTTGCGTGAATTTTGGGACAAACTATATTTCTCTGTGGAAGACCAATGGTTGTCGGACAGATTCCTATCAGCGTTTGGGGCTGGGGGATCCGGGAAGGGGTGTGTTTGAAGTTCCCTGTTGGGTGGATGAAGAATAGGGTACAGCCCGGCCGGCGTGGCTCAGTGGTTGAGCCACGGCCCAGGAACCAGGAGGTCAGGGTTTGATTCCCGGTCAAGGGCACATGCCCGGGTTGCGGGCTCCATCCCCAGTAGGGGGCGTGCAGGAGGCAGCCGATCCATGATTCTCTCTCATCATTCATGTTTCTCTCTCTCTCTCTCTCCCTCTCCCTGCCTGTCTCTCTAAAATCAATTAAAAAAACTATACTTATTACAAAAAAATAAATAAATAAAGGCCCGGCAGTGTGGCTCAGTGGTTGAGCGTCGACCTAGAAACCAGGAGGTCACAGGTTCGATTCCCGGTCAAGGGCACATGCCCGGGTTGCAGGCTCCATCCCCAGTAGGGGGCGTGCAGGAGGCAGCCGATCCATGATTCTCTCTCATCATTCATGTTTCTCTCTCTCTCTCTCTCCCTCTCCCTGCCTGTCTCTCTAAAATCAATTAAAAAAACTATACTTATTACTTTTATTGATTTCTTACAGAGAGGAAGGGAGAGGGATAGAGAGTTAGAAACATTGATGATGAGAGAGAAACATCCATCAGCTGCCTCCTGCACGCCCCCTACTGGGTATGTGTCTGCAACCCAGGTACACGCCCTTGAACAGAATCGAACCCGGGATCCTTGAGTCCGAAGGCCGATGCTCTATCCATTGAGCCACACCGGTTAGGGCTGTATATATTTTTTAAAAATTAATTCAGCTACACAAAGAGAAGACACACACACACACACACACACACACACACACACACACAGACACACAGACACCAGGCTCTTGAGACAAAATGCATACAGAAGAGGAAGAGAATGAATTTCCTGATTTCTCCTCTCTCTCTCTCTCTCTCTCTCTCTCTCAGCGACACCACCTGGGTTTCTTTGCTCAAAGGCAATTCATCTCCGTGGCCCCGTAAACGGGATCCCAGATGTAGACCATCAGGGGCAGGTGTTATGCGTCACCATCATATGCTCCTCGTCGAGAAAACCCACAGGGATGAGCAGAGGGTGACTCAGCAAGGCGCCTCCTGCAAATTAAACCTCTCCGAGCGACAGGGCGATTTCGTTCCAGACAGAACAGGACGGGGACACAGCCCTGAGCCAGGAGGCCTCCCAGGACAAGGAAGGATGGAGAATAATATTAACAGGTGCTTGTTTCAGTGAGTCAGAGGCAACTTGTGTCCCTTGGGGAATGTCCCCCACACACAAGAGCCCAAATCATGACACAGAGTCTGCAAACTCATTAGTCACCAAAGCCAAATATCAACAGGACGACGATGGAAATCCCTTTGGAGATTTCGAAAGATATTGGGATGTCACTCAATTGATTGGGGTCCTTATATGGAAAGATATTGGGATGTCACTCAATTGATTGGGGTCCTTATATGGAAAGATATTGGGATGTCACTCAATTGATTGGGGTCCTTATATGGAAAGATATTGGGATGACACTCAATTGATTGGGGTCCTTATATGGAAAGATATTGGGATGACACTCAATTGATTGGGGTCCTTATATGGAAAGATATTGGGATGACACTCAATTGATTGGGGTCCTTATATGGAAAGATATTGGGATGACACTCAATTGATTGGGGTCCTTATATGGAAAGATATTGGGATGTCACTCAATTGATTGGGGTCCTTATATGGAAAGATATTGGGATGACACTCAATTGATTGGGGTCCTTATATGGAAAGATATTGGGATGACACTCAATTGATTGGGGTCCTTATATGGAAAGATATTGGGATGACACTCAATTGATTGGGGTCCTTATATGGAAAGATATTGGGATGACACTCAATTGATTGGGGTCCTTATATGGAAAGATATTGGGATGACACTCAATTGATTGGGGTCCTTATATGGAAAGATATTGGGATGACACTCAATTGATTGGGGTCCTTATATGGAAAGATATTGGGATGTCACTCAATTGATTGGGGTCCTTATATGGAAAGATATTGGGATGACACTCAATTGATTGGGGTCCTTATATGGAAAGATATTGGGATGACACTCAATTGATTGGGGTCCTTATATGGAAAGATATTGGGATGACACTCAATTGATTGGGGTCCTTATATGGAAAGATATTGGGATGACACTCAATTGATTGGGGTCCTTATATGGAAAGATATTGGGATGACACTCAATTGATTGGGGTCCTTATATGGAAAGATATTGGGATGACACTCAATTGATTGGGGTCCTTATATGGAAAGATATTGGGATGTCACTCAATTGATTGGGGTCCTTATATGGAAAGATATTGGGATGACACTCAATTGATTGGGGTCCTTATATGGAAAGATATTGGGATGACACTCAATTGATTGGGGTCCTTATATGGAAAGATATTGGGATGACACTCAATTGATTGGGGTCCTTATATGGAAAGATATTGGGATGACACTCAATTGATTGGGGTCCTTATATGGAAAGATATTGGGATGACACTCAATTGATTGGGGTCCTTATATGGAAAGATATTGGGATGACACTCAATTGATTGGGGTCCTTATATGGAAAGATATTGGGATGTCACTCAATTGATTGGGGTCCTTATATGGAAAGATATTGGGATGACACTCAATTGATTGGGGTCCTTATATGGAAAGATATTGGGATGACACTCAATTGATTGGGGTCCTTATATGGAAAGATATTGGGATGACACTCAATTGATTGGGGTCCTTATATGGAAAGATATTGGGATGACACTCAATTGATTGGGGTCCTTATATGGAAAGATATTGGGATGACACTCAATTGATTGGGGTCCTTATATGGAAAGATATTGGGATGACACTCAATTGATTGGGGTCCTTATATGGAAAGATATTGGGATGTCACTCAATTGATTGGGGTCCTTATATGGAAAGATATTGGGATGACACTCAATTGATTGGGGTCCTTATATGGAAAGATATTGGGATGACACTCAATTGATTGGGGTCCTTATATGGAAAGATATTGGGATGACACTCAATTGATTGGGGTCCTTATATGGAAAGATATTGGGATGACACTCAATTGATTGGGGTCCTTATATGGAAAGATATTGGGATGACACTCAATTGATTGGGGTCCTTATATGGAAAGATATTGGGATGACACTCAATTGATTGGGGTCCTTATATGGAAAGATATTGGGATGTCACTCAATTGATTGGGGTCCTTATATGGAAAGATATTGGGATGACACTCAATTGATTGGGGTCCTTATATGGAAAGATATTGGGATGACACTCAATTGATTGGGGTCCTTATATGGAAAGATATTGGGATGACACTCAATTGATTGGGGTCCTTATATGGAAAGATATTGGGATGTCACTCAATTGATTGGGGTCCTTATATGGCAAAGGTATTGGGATGTAACATCATTGATTGGCTCGATCCCCAGTAGGAGGCGTGCAGGAGGCAGCCGGTCCATGATTCTCTCTCATCATGGATGTTTCTCTCTCTCTCCCCTCTCTGTCTCCCTTCCTCTCTGAAATCAATTTTAAAAAAAGTTTTTTTAAGGAGCCCTAGCTGGTGTGGCTCAGTGGATAGAGCGTCGGCCTGCAGACTGAAGGGTCCCGGGTTCGATTCTGGTCCAGGGCACATGCCTGGCTTGCAGGCTTGTCCCTGGCCTGGGCCCTGGTCGGGGTGCGTCCAGGAGGCAACCCATCGATGTGTCTCTCTTACGTGGATGTTTCTCTCTGTCTCTCCCTCTCGCTTCCACTCTCTCTCTAAAAATCAATGGGAAAATATCGCTGGTAATAGAAGAAATTCTGTGATTTGCAGATTCTTAATCTTTGCCGTACGAGGACCCCAGTGAAATGACTGACACCCCCTCTTTGCCCTAGAAGAGATTCCAATCAAGGGACTGACACCCCAACATCTTTGTCATATAAGAGGCCAATCAATTGTGTGACATCCCAATATCTTTGTCATATAAGGAGCCCAATCAATTGAGCGACATCCCAATATCGTTCCCATATAAGGACCCCAATCAATTGAGTGTCATCCCAATATCTTTCCATATAAGGACCCCAATCAATTGAGCGACATCCCAATATCTTTGCCATATAAGGAGCCCAATCAATTGAGTGACATCCCAATATCTTTGCCATATTAGAGACCCAATCAATGGAGTGAAATCTCGTCTTTGCCATATAAGAGACCTAATTGAGGGACTGACACCCCAACATCTTTGTCATATAAGGAGCCCAATCAAGGGACCTCCATCCCTACATCTTTGTCATATAAGGGGCCAATCAATTGAGTGACATCCCAACATCTTTGCCATATAAGGAGCCCAATCAATTGAGTGACATTGTTGTCACTCTAGCCCAGCGGTTCTCAACCTGTGGATCGCGACCCCTTTGGGGGTCGAACGACCCTTTCACGGGGGTCGCCTAAGACCCTCGGAAAACACATCTATAATTACATATTGTTTATGTGATTAATCACGATGCTTTAATTATGTTCAATTTGTCACCATGAAAATCCATCCTGCAGATCAGATATTTCCATGACGATTCATCACAGCAGCCACATGACAGTGATGAAGCAGCAACGAAAATAATGTTATGGTTGGGGGCCCCCACAGCGTGAGGAACTGTATTCAAGGGCCGTGGCCTTAGGGAGGTTGAGAACCACTGCTCTAGCCGCTGGGGATGCTGGGAAGATAACCGGGCATTCTCGTCTTTTAGTGGAGTTCTCGTACTGCGACCTGGCATCCCTGCGATCCATCCGGGAATTCGTCCTCAGGTTCAAGGAGAAGAAATTGCCTCTCCATGTTTTGATCAATAATGGTGAGTTCTGGTGAATCCCAGAGGCTGATTATTTTATTTTATTGACGAGAGGCCCGGTGCATGAATTCGTGCACTGGAGGGGTCCGGCCGGCCAGCCCCAGTCGGGCCAATGGGGCTGGGCTGGTAACGAGGAGGGGCCGCAGGCAATTGGCTGGCCGGCCGAGCCACCTGGTCGAACTCCCGGTCAAACTCCTAGTGGAGGGGACAATTTGCATATTAGCCTTTTATTATATAGGATTTTTAACAATATATTCTTATTGATTTCAGAGCGGAAGGATGAGATAGAGAGACAGAGAGAGAGAGAGAGAAGGATCGATTGCCTCCTGCACGCCCCCTACTGAGGATCAAGCCCACAATCTGGGTATGTGCCCTGACTTGGAATCGAACCCTGAACTTCTGGTTTGTAAGTTGACACTCAACCACTGAGCAACAGCAGCCAGGGGCTAAACATTCCCTTAAAATAATATACAAAAGAATAAACACCCTGGCTGATGTGGCTCAGTGGATAGAGCATCAGCCGTCGGACTGAAGGGTCCCGGGTTCGATTCTGGCCAAGGGCACATGCCCGGGTTGCGGGCTCCATCCCCAGTAGGGGGCGTGCAGGAGGCGGCCGATCCAAAATTCTCTCTCATCATGGATGTTTCTATCTCTCTCCCTCTCCCTTCCTCTCTGAAATCAATAAAAAATCTTAAAAATCTATATATATAAAAGCCTAAGCAACCGTTCAACGTTTGGACCGGTAGCTGTGACGCACACCGACCACAAGGGGGCAGATGCTCAACGCACAGGCATGGAAACAAGGAACAGACTGATGAATCTCAGAGGGAAGAGGCAGGAGGGCTGGCCTGGCCTGCGCGGATCGGGCCGAAACCGGCTCTCCGACATCCCCCGAGGGGTCCCGGATTGTGAGAGGGCACAGGCCAGGCCGAGGGACCCCACCGTTGCACGAATGCGTGCACTGGACCTCCAGTCATCCTATATAATAAAAGGGTAATATGCAAACTGACCCTCACAACAGAACGACTGGGAATGACTGGTCGCTATGACACACAGTGGCCACCAGGGGGCAGACGCTCAATGCAGGAGCTGCCCCCTGGTGGTCAGTGTGCTCCCACAGGGGGAGCTCTGCTCAGTCACAAGCCAGGCTGACGGCTGCCAGCACAGCGGTGGTGGTGGGAGCCTCTCCCGCCTCCTCAGCGGCGCTAAGGATGTCCGACTGCAGCTTAGGCCTGCTCCCCGCTGGCAAGTGGACATCCCCCGAGGGCTCCTGGGCTGCCAG